GGGGGCGCCTGGGTGGCTCAGTTGGTTAAGCGTCCGCCTTCAGCTCAGGTCATGATCTCAGGGTCCTGGGATCGAGCCCCGCATTGGGCTCCCTGCTCGGCAGAGAGCCTGCTTCTCCCTCTCCCACTCCCCTGCTTGTGCTCTCTCTCTCTGTCAAATAAGTAAATAAAATCTTTTTTTAAAAATAATTTTATATTGATTACATGTTGACATGACAATATTTTGGACATACTGGGTTAAGTGAAATATATTATTAAAATTAATTTCACCTGTTTTTCTTACTTTTTAAATATAACTACTAGAACATTTAAAATGACATATGTGGCTTGCATGACACTTCTTTTTGATGATTTCGGAAGTTTATACTCTAACAACTATGGTGTGGTGGGTGGTTTGATTAGCAACCTAGATCATCAGTCATAGGTGCTTTGGAGAAAAGACTAGTATCACCCTTTGAGGAAAAGAATAACATCACCCTGCACCAGTCTGAGTCATTATTCTCATCAGGAAAGACTTGCCCCAATTACCTTTGTTAACAGGGTTTGTTTTAAGAGAGCCAGGGGATGTGAGGACTCTGTGGTCCCCAGGGCTTCCCAAACTGGGATGCGCTGTAGGCACCATGGATAAAGCACTGTGACTTATCCATCTGAGTACACCCAGCACTCCTCCCTCTTTGTGGACTAGCCGGTGTCCATGCAGCGTGAGTACCCCTGTTGGGTGGAGGTTTGAGCCAAGCCCCTTCAGAGGCTACTGCCCCCTGCTTGTGTCTGGCTGCCTTTAGCCTGGCCACAATTTTCTGGTTGATTCAGTTGGAGACAGGTAGTAGTGTCTGTTTGGTTCTTGCCACATGGATTAAACTGTAGGATCTTGACACAAAAATAACTGGCAAGGCTTTCTTCAGAAGGAGCATATATCAATGGCAGGAGTTTTGAATTCGGGCCTTCTTCACTGTGTAAAATTCCACCCTCCTCTGCATCTGTAGGGAATAAATGTGCTATCAGGGAGGATATGTCCAAATATCCCTGGTCAGTATGTGTTCAGCTTGTGGTGATGGACCTGGTGTGAATGGGGAGGGTCAGTTTCCCTGGGCACATTGTGGTGAATATCGTGGCACGAAAAGAAAGGACCACCGGCCCTGGTCACAGATGGTGATTCATTTGCAACGACTGGGAAGGACCACTGTATTAGCCTGCTAGAGCTGCCGTAACAAATACCTCAGAATGGATGGCCTAAACAACAGAAGTTTATTTTCTCACAGTTCTGCAGGCTAGAAGTCCAAGGATCAAGGTATCAGCAGGCTTAGTTTCTTCTGAGGTCTCTCTCCTTCGCTTGCAGATGACTGCCTTCTCTCTGTGTCCTCACATGGTCATCCCTCAGTCTGTGTTGTAATCTCTCTTTTTAAAATTATTTTTTAAATCGAGACATAATTGACAGGTAATATTATATTAGTTTCAGGTATACAACATAATGATTTGATATTTTATACATTGCAAAATAATCACAATAAGTCTAGTTAACATCCATCCCCTTACATGGTTACAAATACATATTTTTCCTAGTGATGAGGACTTTTAAGATCTATTTTCTTAGCACCTTTCAAATATGCAAGACAGTATTATTAACTATAGTCATCATGCTGTACATTATATCTCCGTGACTTAATTATTTTATAACTGGAAGCTTCTACCTTTTGACCCCCTTCACCCATTTCTCCCACCTCTCTCACCCCCATCTCTGGAAACCACCACTCTGTTGTGTATCTATGAGCTTGGTTTTTCATTTTGTTTTGCTTTTAATTCCACATATAAGTGAGATCATACAGTACTTGTTTTTCTCTTATTTCACTTTGCACTTATTTCATCTTGAGGTCCATTTCATTGTTGCAAATGGTAAGATTAAATTCCTTTTTATGCCTGAATAGTATTACCTTGTAGATGTATCACAATTTCTTTATCCATTCATCCATTGATGGACAATTAGGGTGTTTCCATATCTTGGCTACTATAAATAATGCTGCAGTGAACATGGGAGTGAAGATATCTTTCTGAATTGATGTTTTTGTTTTCTTTGGATAAATACTTAGAAGAGGAATTACTGGATCATATAGTAGTTATATTTTAATTTTTTGAGGAACCTCCATACTTTTCCATAGTGGCTGCACCAAATTACACAGGTTCCCCTTTCCCCACATCCTCACTAACACTTGCAATTTTTTTGTCTTTTTGATAATTACCATTCTAACAGGTATGAGGTGACATCTCATTGTGGTTTCAATTTACATTTCCCTGGTGATTAGTGATGTTGAGCATCTTTTTATTTACCTGTTGGCCACCTGTATGACTTCTTTGGGAAAATGTCTGTTCAGATCTACTGCCCAATTTAAAATCAGATTGTTTGTTTTTTGCTCTGAGGTTGTGTGAGCTCTTTATATATCTTGAATGTTAACAGCTTGCCAGACATATGATTTGCAAATATTTCCTCCCATTTCAGTAGGTTGCCTTTTCATTTTATTTGGTGGTGTAATCTCTTCATCCTGGATTACCACTTACCTATATAATCTCATTTTACCTTAATTATCTCTTTAAAGGCCTGATCTCCAAATACAGTCACATTCTGAGGTACTGGGGGTTAGAACTTCAGCATATGAATTTGGCGGGTACACAGCCCATAGCAACCACCATCCTTGGTCAGTATGTGGCATTTGAGGATCAACTTAATGAACTGCATGGTCAGATGCAATGCCCACGAAATGACCATTAGGTCACATGAAGATTTCCTACTCAAGGGAATGAGAACAACACATGCACCTTTGAAAAGGCTATGAATGACTTTAGGTAAATGCAATTAGATGGAGGGACATAACTGACTCCTGAATTCTATTGCCAGTCTGCTTCTCAACACCAGGTACTCCTCGTTACTTGAACCACAGTGCCTGAGGCCAAGCAAGTGTAGTTGAATGTCCTTGGGATAATGTGCTAAATCCTGGCTGGCAAATCTGACATCAGGCACAAGGGTTAAGAATCTATTTAGGGGCATAAGACAAACACATGGAACAAGTATAATGTGAGCCCTGCACCGAGCGACGTAAGGCAAAGAGGTGATCAGGCTGAGAATGGAAAGGAGAAATCAGCAAAGATTTCTGATTTCTGGAGAGGGTAGCCTTCTTATAGTTGGAAATTGGTGAACATGTACTGATGAGGAGGATGGTGAAAATCTGGAGCCAAGGCAGGGGCAGGAAATGCAAGATATGAAAAGATCCTCTAGAAGCTGATGGTTAGAGCACAGAGTTTGTGAGTAAGGAGGGTTGGTTTAAAGCAGTGATGGAGAAAGGTCTGCCTCTAGGTGTGAAGTGATATGGGACTGGGTAAGTGACAGAGGAGAAGGCAGATTGAGTGTGTGGAGATTAAGAGCTGGCAATTGATCAAATGCTGTAATTGAGGAGGTCTAGCATTACACACAGACACACACACATACACACACACACACACCAAAAGTCACTATGATGATATCCGCGATTCCCAGAGGTTACTGGTTCCAGTGCTGGTACTGAGACCTCTGGGATGACACCCCAGTGTTCATAAAAAAAAAAGATGGCAACAGTCTTATTGGTTTGTGAACTCTTAGATGACGATAGCTGAAAAGTCCATTTTAACATGAGGCGTTTTGTTTGTTTCCATGCTAACCATAGACTTCTCTAGTCAGTTCAATTGTTAGCAGCAAGAAACTAGATAGATATAAGCAGTATTCTCCAAGTGACACATTAAACTGGGATGAGTCAGTTAAGTAACAACAAGCAGACTTCATTAAATGACTAAAAGGCATTTTATGCATTTATCTTAAGAAAAATATATTATGGAAGAGTCAACAGATGGCTTCATGGGAATTTGCTTGGCTTACTGGGATAGAACAAGAAAACCTCCTCTTTAAATGTTGACTGGGGGCTCCTGGGCAGCTCAGTTGGTTAAGTGGCTGACTCTTGATTCCAGCTTAGGTCATGATCTCAGGGTCCTTGGATAAGTCCCATGTTGGGCTCAACACTCAGTGGGGAATCTGCTTGAGAATTCTCTTTCCCCCGCCCTCTGCCCCTTCTCATGCTCACATGCTTTCTTTCTCTAGAATAAATAAATCTTAAATAAGTAAATAAATGTTGGCTGAATGTTACAGCCTTTTGAAAGAGAACTATTTCTCTCCCAATATATTTTCCTAGTAATCTTCTACAATTACTGTAAATATACTCTGCAACAAATCGTAGATTATAAATATTTTTAAAAATTCAATTGTGTCTTGCACAGAACTTTCAACCTTTTCATTCTGTTCAAGGGACGACAGATCCTGAATAGCTGCTGTGCGCTTTCACCTCTTCTCTTAGCACTCTATATGCAAAATCAGCAATTCATCCCATTCGGACTTTCCTTAAACTGCCTTCAGCCAGGCCTCAGGAATCAGCCTCCTCAAGTGAACTTCAGTAGTGGGGCTCAGGCTCCATAAATCCCCAAGTGATGTTGATGCTTGCCAACTTGAAGCAAACTGGGTCTCCACTTGCAGGGTGGTTTCAAGTCATAGGGAAGTTGACTAGGAAGAGTTAGAAAGCAAGTCTTTGGTAGGCACAGAAGTTTGGGAATGAGTGAACAGCTGGGACTATTTCTTCCTTTTTCCAGTTTGCACATATTCACTCTGAAGGCAGGGAATGGGGCACCCAGTCGAAGTTACAGTCCTGCGCTCAGCCCTGGCAGCCAGCGCCCGTCTCCCCCATCCCTCGCCTTAATTACCCCTGCGCCCCACCTGCTCCGCGGCTCCGCCCAGCCTTCGGCCGCACCGGCCACACCCTCTCACTGCTCTGGCCCCCCCAGCCCCGCCCCTCAGCACGCGCCGCGGCCGGCGCCCCGCCCCACCCGTCACGTGACAGCCACGCCCTCCGTGCGCGCTCGGACTGGCTCTCCCGGCCGAGGGGGTGGGTTCTAGCTTACAGCACTGCCCCGCAACGCGGCTGCAGTTTTCAAACCTCAACTGTAAGCTCCGGTCACCGTCTCCGCTGCCGTCGCCGGGAGCCACCTCACAGGGGAACAGGTCACAACTGTTGGCCGTTGTCCAGAAGAGTAAAAGTGGGTCTTGCCACGCTCGGAGCTACCTGGCGCCTCACCGGGCTAGAGCTGGAGAACAAGTCGTGTGGTGGCCACCGGCGTGGAGCGGGACGGGAGCCCCCTTGGAGGGGGCAGCCCCGAGAGAACCTGCTGCGGCCCGAGCGGTCAGTGTCTTTCGCTTTGCGCGACCGCGGTTCTGCCACGATTGGTGGGTGGGCTCGGGGCTGCGACTTTGAATCCCTGAACCCGCCCCCTTTACCCTGGGTATGGCGACGCCCCCCCCCCTTAACGTCGGAGGGGTCTCGAGGAGGGATGCAGCCAGTGTGGGCGGATTCGGAGTCTCCTCAGAACCCGGACCCCCGGCCTGGTGGAGGTAGACTCGGACTGGGACTGCCGCACCTCAGGTGGCCTGACTGCCCCGGGCCCCTCTCCGCTCTCCGGCTGGAGTTCCCTCGGGTTCGGTTCTGGGGCGTCCGGTGATCCTCCCAACCCCCTCCTCAGTCGCGGCGCGTGTCTGTGCGTGTGTGTGTGTATGTGTGTGTGTGTGTGTGTGTGTGTGTGTGCGCGCGCGCCGTCGCCTGGGCGGCCCGGGCTCTCCCCGGGTCGCATGCCGCGGGGGCTCCCTTCGCGACTGGCTCGCTTGCGCCCCTTTCCACGTCGCGTCGATGTGGTCCTTCCTGTCCCCAGCCCCCGCGTTCACAGCTGTGGTGTGGGCACAGGACGGGTTCACATCTGGACTGGTGGACGCGTCCTGCTCACAGCTGCCTTTAGTCTCGAGAAAGTTTGTGCTCATCTTGTGGGGCATTTTCAGTTACAGCTTGTGAACAGTGTTGTAAAGCCATTGAATAGAGAAGACAAATTTCAATTGTTTCGGTAATTTTCAGCGGTCTGATTTTATTTTGACGCCATGTAAATCACTTAAGTGTACATGAGCCATCCTGAAACTGTACAATTACGTGATGACTACAGTATTGAAATTTACCCAGCTCTTTGTTTTATTGTAGGGAAAAGCTCTTCATTTGCATTCCCTTAGAGGGATAAGTAGAGCAAAGTTGGAGGAGACTTTATGGCAGCTGGTAGCTGGTAGTTCTTCCTCCGTCTGTGATGGGACAAGAGACACTCGGACATAAACTTGCAAATTAAAATTAAGAAGGAAAAATACATTTAAAAAGTCCAACCACATGCTGGTCAAATTTCAATAATATTAGGTCTGTGTATCACAGTCACTGTTTTGCCAACGTAATGTTTACCTCCGGTACCAATGAAATGCTGAACCTTGCAGTGACGTTTGATATGGCGCGGCCCCTTTAAGTCCTCATCTTTGAGAACGTGTGCGCTGAGACAGCATGGTCTACAGAGATGATTGAGCAAGTGGTGGCAAATGTATGTAACTTGGCAATTTAAGCCCACGAGCACGATTTTATTAAAGGAAAAGATAATAAACCTACTTTCTTATTGATACACTGACCAGTGTGAACTGGACAGAAGCAGTTTTTAACTACTTCTAGTGTTTGTTTTATAAGTATTAAACCACATATCGATAGAACTTTATATTTTTTAAAAAGTTGGTCCATAGAAACAGTGCCCTAATTTAAGACCTCTCTTCTTCCCCATTCATCCTTCTGTGAGATGTTTCATTTTTTTAAATTTTCTAATATTTTAATAAGTGGAGTTATTAATAGCTGCTTTATTTTTGAGATACATAACATGCATTTTAGATCATTTTCTAAATTATGGATCTAAAATTGAAGTGAAATATATTTACATGGCAATATATTTAAGTTTTAAAAGTAAAACTTGAGTAGTAATATTAAAATATTTCTTTTGTGTGTGTGGGCAGAATGGTTGTAGTTGCTCTTGGACTCTGAATAGTGAATTACAATTTGGTTAAGATAGAATCAGTTTTTAGGAAAGTCAAACCTTGACAAATTGATCACTGTGTCAGCACATTAATAACAATTCTGAAGAAGATACAGGCATTTTATGGCATGTTTCTAATCAAACAATTTTATTTTTAAGCTTGCATTGGCAGTGCTTTACTGGTGTTAAGTAAATATTTAAACATATTTTAAAAGCTTTGTTTTGAAGCTGTTTGATTATTATGAGAGAATATCCTTATCAAAAATTTCTTGTACTCAAGAAGACCTAATTTAAAAACCCATGAATCAAGGAAATCAATTGCTAACACTGTCACTGAATCCTAAAATTGTCTCAAAATTGCATGTACATTATATTGTAGTGCATATTTCCTGTATATAAAATTGGCAGCTAAGAACAGTGCTCCTAGATTTACTGCTTTTAAAAGATTTTGATTGAATCTTGTTGTTTTTTTTTTAAGAATTCTTTTGCATTCTGTGGGTATTGATTATGTCAGAAATATTAACAGTCATTTATGTATTTCCTTTCCCCTTGGGAAAACCTTAAATATTTTAGTTGCTTTAGTTTTCCACCATATTCATGACAAAATTCTATTATTTTATTTTTAAGTAGTTTATAGTCTATGATGGATTATTTTCGAAGGATATTTCTTTGATTATTTCAACTAACAAATGTACTTATAAATTAAGTTACAAATATTTTTATATAAATATGTTGTGATGTTGCAATTTTCAAGACATATTTAGTAAAATTTTTAAAAATTTCTTTGATTTACTTATCCTTTTTTTCCAATAACATTTAACTTTGAATTTCAGTGCCACTTTAAACATCTAAATTAATCAGTTTCTTTTAATATTTATATGTATATTTTGGTGCATCCCTGACCCTTTGCAACTTCTTCACCCAAAGAGGGCATAGTTATACTTTAAGCATTTAAAAATTTTGATATTAGCAGTGAGATGGTAGTTTCATCTTTAAATCCTTAAAGGATCATATCCCATTTTATATTGTAATGGTTACTGAACAAACAGTACTTCAGCAGTGAGGTCAGTAAACCGTACTTTATTTTACAATAGAAACTTAATTTTCCATCTGATGAGCGACAAGCACTGTGTGTTTGTTGGTCCACTATATTTCTGTTTTTCAACATCTTCTTATCCTGGTTCAAAATTACAAGGTTTAATTTTCCTTCTGAAGGAAGGCATAGAATCAGGCCTGGGGTTGTTACCTGGAACTTCAGCCCTTGGGCTGTATATATACTAGACTGGTTGAACTAGAGTTTAGTTAGCTGGCTTCCTTTTGTGATTTTCAAAGGATTAAATTCTTGACTTATGCTTCTTATTCAATCTTTAGAAGCAAACAAACAAACAACACCTGTTATTAGAATACAGTTAGTAGAAGGAATATAGTCTCTTCCTTGAAATTGAAAATCATCTTCATCCTTATCCCTACGCCAACACATTTATTTCTAATCAATGACTAAAAATGGATTCTTCTGCCACACTAGCAGAAAGTTCTTTCTTTATTTTGATGGAGGCTAGATAAATAAATCTCCAGTTCCTCTGTTTCCTAGGAAAAACTTGGTAGCTATAAAATGCTGACATTCCTACTGGGTGCCAGACACCATGTTAGGAGTTTAGACACAAAAGCAAATGTTGCCCTTTAGACACTAAAGAGAATTGTAGTCTAACATGTTACATGTTGAAGTAAAGAGGTATGTCGAGGGTCCTCCTGTTCCTCCTGTTTGAAAGGTAAAGGAGGGGCATTTAAACCAACCTGTGGGTTTTAGGAAAAGCTTCCTGGGTGAGGTGACCTTCTATGTTGAGATATGAAGGGTGTATGAGAAGACAGCCTTTTAAGGAAAAGTAGAGAGAACATTTCAGGCAGAGAAGTAGAACAGAGATGGAGAGGAAAAAAAAAAAAAAGTGTGGCAGGAAATGAAACTGGTGTGTACCTGGCCTCAAAGGCTTTTGTGTGTCATGCAGTAGGGTTTTAGCTTATTGGTACTGGGTGGCTAATTAAGGGATCAAATCAGACAATTTAATTCTCTAGATGTTATCATATTTTGTGTATGATATTTCCTATTTCTGTAAAACATTTTTATTGATAACTTCAAAATGAATATTGTGATGAATATTTTTTAAATAGAGCTATTTAAAGGTTTTAAAGGGACTGTTGTTTGTCTTACTTTTGATCACATCACATTGCTGTCTCCCTTCAAGTAAGTTAAGGTCCACATCGAGCCTAACATTTCCTCTGTTACTTCCTTCACTGATCCATATCTGCATTTTTACTGTAATTATTGTGATGGGAATTAATAAAAGAAAAATCTTTGAGAATAAGTTTGAGGTACTGTATACTTGGAAGCTTAATTTTATCTTGCCTTCTATTACCCTCTTACTGTTTCTAGTGCCTGATTGTGTCTATAATTGTGTGCCTCTATACACACACACAGACACACACATACATTTACCTAAGTCCCTTAAGATTTTTTTTTTACTAGTATAGCCTAATAAAGTGTTATAAAATGAATTTCAAATAGATTGAGACATATTGGTAATTTAGAATCAGTTATGTGAATTGTGGTAGAAAACAAAGAAAAGGGCTGGAATTGTTGGAGTTAAAGAGAAATTGTTGAAAAATTTAGGAAGATACACAGAGACACAGAGGGTTGACTGATAACCTTAAGGTACCCAAGGATTAAATCTTATGTGACAGGCAACCAGATGTTTGTGGAGGGTTTAGACAAAGGGTAACATTCATGCTCCACTATAAGTAAAATTGGCCAAAGGAGAAGAAATGGAAAGATATTTAGGCTGTGGCAACTGGTTCAGGTGCAGGAAATAGAAGGAAAAATACACTTAAAGGGTGCTAGCTATATGGGTGCCTTAAGCAGTCTGTAATATAGGTATATTAGCAACAAGTAGGTAAGTGTAAGGCTCTGTTTTTCTGAGACATAGCTTGTATTCCAGCATATTCAGAGCTAGAGTAAAATGTATCACAATTCAAAAAATGATTTTTGTATTAACATGTATTTAAAAGAACTGCTGATTGCCCAGTGCTGCTTTCAGCTACATTTAGTCATAAAAACGCCTGTGGGTACATTCAGCATTATGATGACCAACAGTACATCTGAAGGGAGGAAAATTTGTTAGGGTAAAAAATTAAACACAAGGCAATGTCCAGTAATAGGAAATACTCTCAAGTAGCTTGATTTAATAAGACCCTATTTATTTTATTATTATCTTATCAATCCTTTAAAGATCAGCTCTTTTTCCTTCTAACATAGCTGAATAATAGATATTACAAAACAATATTTATATGTATATTTGGATATCACATTTTAGATTTTGGGAGGGAAGGGAGACCTAGGTAAGTCTGCATTTTCACAAGTGATACTCATAATAAAGGTGTGTATCTTAAAGTTACAGATTGTTATTCATTATATAGAATTGTAACTATAACATTAATTCAGAATTTGTTAAATTGTCTTTTCTATCCAGTATTAAACAAGGCATTAATTCTTGTTTAGTATTTGCCCTGAATGCTTATATGGTCTCTGCATAAGAACTGACATACTATTTGGTTAGTAAATGCCATCTGCTCTATATAAATGCAGAGAAAACTCTCTGGCCTTAAAAAAATTGAGCAATAATGGTTCTTGAACCTACAGTCAAGTAAACCCTTAATGTGTAAAGAGATATATTTTGCTGGTGCAAGTGGGTAAGTTTCTGCATTTAGAGTCTAGTGATATATATTCACAGCCATCTTTTTTACCCAAAAGCGTTTGCTAATTATTTGCCTATTATTAAAGTAGTACCTGCTTAGTGTAGATACTTTAAATACTAGGAAAGTATAAATACTGCCATAATCCCACCACCCAAAGATAACTACTGTTAACATTTTGCCCTAGTTTTCCAGTCTTTTCTTCTATTTGTTTTTATATTTTTGCCACAAAATTATCATAGTGTATATACTTTTTGTGTCTTCCTTTTTTCACTTAATATTACAGGAGTTAAAAATATTCTTTGAAAGCATGATTTTCGAGTATATAGTATCCTATTATTTAGGTATATTTAAACACTTTTTGGACTTTAGGTTTCATTCATTCAACCAGGTTGTTTTTTTCATTATTATAAATACTAGTTCACTGAGCATAAATCTTTGACTACATCTAAGATCCATATTGACTCTTTGGAAACTTGAGAGCAGAAAATACTCATAAAATTAGTTCTGCTAGAGTTCTTATGAATGGTTCACTTTGTAGCTGATATATTACAGCATGAGATAAAGATCTTAGATTCTAGAATCTAGATGAGGTGAACATCTCAGAATCAAGAGCCTATACTCTGTCTCTATGATTGAATTTGACACGTACTTCTTATATTTCCCAAGGCCTGATTGATGGACGGTGTTGGGAATGTAGCCCAATTTGTATCCATGATACAGGTACATCCCTTCCTTCTGTATATATGTATGTATAATAAATATGCAATCATAAGCAGGCATATTCATAGACTTTTAAATTTAGAAAAAAATTATCAAAACCCAAAGATGACCTGAAAATAAATAGATTGAGCATAGAAATTGGTAACCGTTTTGATTTTTCTGAGAGGAATATATGACCATTGTAACTGCATGCCATCAGATCTAAGAAAGTACACAAAGTACACAGTTAAAAAAGGCAGAATTTTACGAGTTGAGTTTAAGCTAACCTGGGGTGAGAGTTTTGTATATGGAAACAGTACAACTTCTCAACAACAGCCAGGGTTGGTGTAGAGAGTATCTTTGGGTAGAATATTAACAATATTTACTTACTGAACTCTCATGATTAGCCCTGTACCAGTGTCATTCTTCATGAGTACATCATATTTTAATTTTAATCCATAGAGCTGTGCAAAATAGATTCTATTATAATCTATACTTTAGAAGAAGCAGAATTGAAGCTTTCCTCACTAGTAATTAGAGAAATGCAAAGTAAAACACAAAACTTCATTTCCCTTCATCACACTAGAATAGCCAAAATTAAAGGCTTAAATGGGACAAACATTGGCAAGGAAATGATAAGCTCTCTCACCTAGTGCTAGTGGGAATATAAACGGGGGATGGAATGAAGGGACCGACTTCAGCTGTGTCTATGTGATGTCTTCTTTAATTTAAACAAAATATGACAAAGCAATAAGACTGAAAAAGCAAGTGTTTGTTAGGATATTTGTATCCCTTCCTATACATTCGAAATATTTTTTTCTTTAATTTTTTTTAAAGTATCTATATTTGTTTCCCACACAGCCATAACAAAGTACTGCAGATCAGGTGACTTAAACAACAGAAATTTATTTTCCCATAATTCTGGAGAGTAGCAATTTGAGATCATGGTGTTGGCAGGATTGGTTTCTTCTAAGGCCTTTCTCATGGCTTGCAGATGTCCTCTTCTCCCTGTGTCTTCACATGGTTTTCCTTCTGTGTGTTTCTGTGGCCTAATCACTTTTTATAAGGACACCAGTCCTGTTGGATTTGGGCCCACCCTAATGACCTCATTTTTCACTTAATCAGCGCTTTAAAGGCCCTAACTCCAAATACAGTTACCTCCTGAGGTACTGGGGGCTAGGACTTCAGTATGTGAATTTTGAGGGGAGGGACACAATTGGTCCATAACAGTAGTGAAGTTAAATAATTTAGTAAGATCTCTTAGCTGGTATGATGGATAAATGGGATTCAGACTCAGATGTAATTCAGTCCAAATGTTATTTTCAGAATGCTACACTGCAACCCTTAGACTACTAGAAATGTATACCAAAACTAGTTAGGTCTTGGTTTCTCCAAAGATAAATGGATTTAGAGGAAAAAAAATTGTTGACTTAAGAATAAAACCAAGAAAATAAAGGCACTAAACTCTTATCACGTTGCTTATTAAATTGAATATAGTTGGCATTTGAATTTAGGAAGATAAAGAATAATACATGTCAAGTAGGAAATAAGTGGAGGAAAAACGTGGCAGAGAAAGAACAAAAGCCCTAGGGGGTTATTGAAAGAGGGTGCTAGAAGAATAATACTGGATCTTTTGTTAGATACACATAGCAGGAAGTCCTAACTATTATAAAATATATAGTCTACAATTATTATATGAATTCAATTAATACGAAATGGTAGTTTTGTTGTTAAAACTGAATACATGTAAATATCACAAAGTTGCAGATAAATATGAGTTCAAGATATAGAACTGTAGAATAGGCTTTGTATATGGTCAGTAACTTATCCAACAAAATTAGAGCTTTGTTCTACCAAAAGAAAAAAACTCTAAGACCTATGAAAATTTGAATTTAATATTGAAATGTAGGTAGTCTGTTAAACAAGTTCTATTTCTTGTAATTTCTAATTTCTTCTAAGTCATTAACATAACTCAAAAAATGTGAATTCACTATCAAATTTGGCCATGTAAAATGAAATTTAAAATGAATAATCATTACCTTGCTTGTTAGAATCTTTTGTGAAGATAAAACTTTAAAGAATGAGAGTTTAAAAATGAAATTGAATGGTTGCTTATATTAAAATTATAACTATTTTTTAAGAATTTGGGAGGTCTTGAGGATTTTTATAGTAGTTTTATTCTGAAATAAAGCCATTAAGTTAGTTCAAGTACCATAGAGGTAATAGAATTTATGTGTGTGCCTTTCTTTTTTTTCTTCCTTCTGGGTAGACTGTGCTGTTTAAATCTTCTTATCTCCCTCCCTCCTTTCTTTCTTTCTTTCTTTCTTTCTTTCTTTCTTTCTTTCTTTCTTTCTTTCTTTCTTTCTTTCTTTTTGTTGTATCTTACAGCTAGCTGTATTTGGAACTGTAAAATGTAATGTACATCCTGTCTGTCTGAGATAACATCTTTTTTTTTCTTAATTGCATTTAAATTATATCCTGTATCTTCTCTTTTTTTAAATAGGTAAAAATAAGTGACTAAAGAAGCATATCTGGGAGTCATCTAACATGTTGAGGAGAAGATTTGATTGCCGAAGTATTTCAGGCTTGATAACTACAACTCCTCAAACTCCAATGAAAATGGAAAACTTTAATAATTTTTATACACTTACATCTAAAGAGCTGGGAAGGTAAGGAAATTTTATAATGTATTTGCTGTTTAAATTCGTATTTTGGATTTCTGGGTCTATAGTTCTATAAAATTCACTTGATCATTTTAAAAAATGATTAGAAAGAAAATCATCATCTCTGCTATTATTATAAGGGTGTAGTCTTAACTGACTTGGAAATCAAATCTGTAGAAAATTAGTGAGCTTATATGATATATCCCACCTAGATTCAGAGCCCCAATAGGAGGTCAGGGTTCTTCTTTGAGGCTGTGCATGGCAACAGGAAGCTTAGGGCTCTGCCATTTCCAAACTTTGTGACCTCAATTAAATTTCTGTACCTCTTAGTACTATAATTTCCTCATCTGAGAAGTGGGGATGAAGATAATTGTATCTACCTTCTATGGTTGTTATGAGGATTAAATTAGTTAATATTTGTGAAGTATTTAGTAGAATGCTATCAATTTTTGTTAAAAGTTTTTTAAATTCCTAGGATATTGTGCTGGGCTAAAAAAATAGAGCGTCTCCTCCTCTTTTTTCCTAAATTAAACAAAAAGAATTAACTCATATTTGATAATACAATTCTGTATGATGAAGAATGCATGTTCTGTAAGTAAAACCCTGTACTTACACTAATACTGATCTGTTTTGGCCTAACCAGAGTGTTAAGGCCAAGGGGTGACCTGAAATTATAAGACCATTTAGCACTACCATTTAAATATATATGGAAGTTGTAAAAAAATGCTAAGTTATTTATTATATGTTCAGCATCTTTGAACTTAAATGATGTTTAACAAAGAGTTGAAAGATGTTGATCTGTTTCTATCTTTAGTTTGATTTTAGTTCTGGAGGCAGATGTTTGCTTATCTTGAAATGGTTTACCAAGTCCATGTTTGTACTGATAGATGTATGGTAAGATAGTATGATTGATTTTTATATTTGAAAATCTCAATGTGAAAATAAAAGTTGACTGAACCATGAAAAGAATTCTGGTTTTGGTGATCTTTTACATGAAAGGTAACAACAAGTCCTAGACTTGTTAGATGTTGGATGCAGCCTTTCATTTGCAAATAAGGGTGATAATATATACTTCATTAGACTAAGAACTAAATATGAAAGCATTTTTCATAATTCCTGGCATATTTATTTATTTAATTTTATGTGCAAAATATCTGGTGTTTTAATGGTGTATTGAAAGATACAGTTTTTCAAGCCTTCCAGAATGTTTCTAAGAAATTGTTTAATTCTAAATCTGTAATTATTTCTCTTTTTTTTTTTTTTTAAAGATTTTATTTATTTATTTTGACAGAGAGAGAGACAGCGAGAGAGGGAACACAAGCAGGGGTAGTGGGAGAGGGAGAAGCAGGCTTCCCGCTGAGCAGGGAGCCCAATGTGGGACTTGATCCCAGGACCCTGGGATCATGACCTGAGCCGAAGGCAGACGCTTAACGACTGAGCCACCCAGGCGCCCCTGTAATTATTTCTCTTTGCATCATAACAGGAGTCAGTTTCTTTTAGTTGCTTATATCTCACATGGAATAGTTATAGAATCTTTGCACTGGAAGGATTTCAGTGGTCAGCGGTCTTCTAATATAATTCTTTATGCAACAGTCTTTCCAATAATTTTCCTGACAAGCTGTTTATCTAGCTTCAATTTGAATGCTGCAGCAATGGGGAACTCATTTACCTCAAAATGTGTCTGTTCCATTTTGTGGGTGCCTCTTAGGCACAGAAGGTTCTCTGTTCTGCTAACATCTACCCAATAGACATAGTTCTTCTTTTGTAGCTGCATGTAATATTATTATAATAAATATAATAAATCCTTCAGAGATCTGAATATGGTTAAACACTGCCAGTTTCCTTAAATGCTCATCTTACGACCTAATTTCCAGACAGCCATCTTTGATCTAGTTACGTTCTTCTGGACCACTCTGCATTTTTCATTGTCAGTCTTAAAATAAGAAGGCCTAGAGTGGACACAGTTTGGTCAATATCTTAACATCTAGACTATCATAAAGCTTTATTGAGGTAGCTTAAGATTCTCTTAGGAGTTTTCTTTCCTTTTTTTTTTTTTAAAAACAGCTATGTCAAATATGCCATATATAGTATATTAGTAAAAAACAGATTAAACTGGAAGTCGGTTGACCTGTCTTTACTCTGGATCTAAAGTTGTGTCATATACTTAGTTGTGTGGTTTCCTTTTCATTAAGATGACTCCAAGTTTCTTTCTATTTGAAAAAATGTTTGAAAACTGCTTTGAACAGGTAACTGAATATGAAAAGCCTTGAACAGTATGCACAATAAAGGGTATTCTTTCCCATATTTCTAAGTTACTATTTTGATGGGTAAATGTACATACGTTTATTAAATTAACTTTGCAAAATAGGGATATCACGTGGCTTGAAAGTCTATAAAATATTTTTTTCCTTTGGGAGTTTTGGAGAACTTAAACTTTGAGGAGGACACTATTAGTAATTCTAAATGGTTTTATAAATGAGGTACTATCATAAATAACAAGCATAAACTTGAATCAGGTATATTTTTTAACATTTTAGAGCAAAAACGATAGAATGTGATTAAAACAAGTTCAGTTTGCTAATATCCCATCTTCTAATATCTTTAGGAAAGAGACCTAACATTATTCTTTAAATTGATGTGGGCTAATGAGTCCTGTGGAAAATACTGATATTTCTAATTAGTAAAACTTGATCAGTTGAAATCATGATCTTTCACGACCAATAACTTCCTTTAAGTTCTTCCAATATTGTTACCAATTTTAATATGCAGAACTAATGCAGAATGAAAATTAGGATCATAATATTGTTTCTCCTGAGGCTTTACATTTTAAGTATGTAAACATAATTCTACCATGTGGTGAATTACAAAGTTCTTTGTAAATCAAGTTGATTTTTCTGAATCACCTGTTTTTTTCTTAATTCATTTTAAGATGTTAGTATTTAAGAATTTATTTTCCTTTAGCAGACTAAAAGAAAATATGTAAAAGTTAACAGTTCATTTTAGACTATTCTCAAAAAACTTTGCATTGTTCCTGTTTTTTAACATGTTGGGCAAGTTTTTTTTCCACCCCTCCCCCAACCGAGGCAAGGTTCCTTAGGACTTCTTGTGGTTAGAAGGGTGAGGCAGATGCAGAAATAAACGTAGCTTCCTTTGTGGCTTACCCTCCCCCACCCTTCACATTTTATTGTCTATTCTAGAATGCAGAACACTAACTACTAGACCTTTTCACTGCTGGGAAATCTAGTCAGTTTTGCATTTTTAGGGTATGAATTAAGTATTATTGTTAAGGGTTTTTAATTTTCTTAAATGTTTCTGTTAAATTTGATACAGGAACATAATGTATAAAAGATTATTTTTCATACTTCTAAACCACAATTAGCATTTTAGAATGGGAAACAAATACTTTTTTCTTCCTAAGTCATCTGATGATTATGGTAATTAACAGTATATAAATGAATATATATGTAAAATGTTATTGGAATCTTAAAAAAGCTTTAAAAATATAAATGCTTTAAGCACAGGACGCAAAATAAGACAGTATATGGTATTGTAGTAGGTGCATAACTCTTGCATTCATTCAACAGGTATTTCAGTTCCTGTTACGTGTTACCAAAGCGTAGATTTTATAATAACTGTAGTAATTAGGACAGACAGGGTCTCTGCCCTCATGGGGCTTTTACTTAGTCGTAAATACTGACAGATAAATAAATAATTACCAATATCATTTGGTCACCTTTGTACTAGATTAATGAGTTCTGTACTTGTTTTAAGAAAGCCTTGTAAGAATACATGAAAGAATTTAGATAAAAAGGTGTTACTAGTTAATTTTGCTCGTTGTTCCTGAGAAAATTCTGGCTTGCCAATTGTAAAATTACAGGAGAATTTAATTGTCACAATTGGTAGTATAAACTTTTTTTACAGATGCACAATTGTCTTGGCTAACTAGTGTCTGTTTACTAAGTTTTACAAGGTGAATTTCTTCATAAAACTCAAAATTTCCTTTCTGTTTTAGACACGTTTTCACTTCTAAATCTAAGTGAGAATTGGCAGAAGTGAGTTGTACTTCTTAAAAAAAAAAACTATCTTAAAGGAAGGAATTGTTTTGTAGTGGTTAGAAGAGAAAGCTAGGAATTCACATTCCATAGTTCAATTTTTGGCACTACGATTCCATATATGACCTTTCAGGAATCATTTAATCTTAGTCTGATTCAATTTATCCAGTATAAAATCTATAAACATGGGTGGTTTGAATACAAAGTAGAGACTGATGACCTTTTTGTGTGCTCATTGAAATGCATTGATCTGCATTGCTTTTGCGTACAGTGAAAAAGTATCTTATAGTTTAAGTTAGACATTTCAGATCTTAAAGGAAAGGTCTTCCTAAGAATCAGGTTTGTGCATGCAAATTTATTGAGTTGATGTAGTTTTGATAAATGTAGAAGAGTCAAATTATAGCTTGGTCACCTTTTTTTTTGGTATTAGCTATACTTTTTCAGCTTGGTTTCCAGGGCTTTTCACTGGCACCGATATTGAAGAAATTTGGAAAATAAAGAGTAGGAATCTTTGTCATCCTGACCCTTGAGAATAGCAAGTAAAATACAATCAGGCAATTTATTTTGTCCCCTACCCCCACCCCAAATACCAAGTTTTCCTTGCCAAGCACCTGATATTCTGTGTTAGAAGTCGAATTGGGGAAAGAAGAGTTGTGGAACAAAAGTTCTTCTCTAAAGACCCTTTATTTATACCTCATTTGTTAGTATCTATAAAGTAATTTGAGCCTTAAGATACAGGTTCTTAATTTTAGATCCCTTGGACTCAGGTTTAGAAGGTTTATAGATGGGCTTTGAAATCTGAAAACCCTCTGGAATTGTGTGTAAAGCTTTCTATTTAAGGGTATGTGTACATTTTTCTGGGTAGGCAGTCAGTAGCCTTTATTAGTTTCTTAAAGTAGTCTTACTCAAAATAGCTTTAGGTCTTTGGGGAAACTAGATTTTAGGCAAATATAGGCTTAGAGTACACATTTTGCCTGTGTCTTTTTAAGTTTTGTCTGAGATGCTAAGCACTTCTATTGGAAAGAGCTAAACACATACTTATTCCTAAAACGATAAACATGACCTTAATAGGTAGCTGTTGATAACTATTAATTTTCTTAGTTGGTCGTGAAGTTATCTCTGGATACTCTCCATAGGACACATATACTTTTGATATCTGTTACAGGCTTCATAGACCACTGGGCAATATTAAGAGATTTACTGGTAAAACAACTGCTAAATTAATGATAGAAAACTTCAAAGATTGTCAAAAGTGGTGTTGAAAGGCAAAGTGATTACACTAATAAAATTAAATGTCAAATACTCATTTTTGCATTCATTTTAATTTTTTGTTTTAGAAGGAAGCTATTTTGATTAGAGAGTTAGTGTGGTACTCTATTAAGGGTACAGTCTTTGGAAATAGACCAAGATACATATACTCTCTGGTGTCTGCAAAATGGAATATCACTTACTATATAGGATTATTACAATATTTAAACCCAAAAATTTATATCAAGAGTATGGCATGGAGTTAGTATGAAGATGAGATCTCCCCCTACAATGATGACGTATTATATTAATAGTGATGAACAAATATAATTCTGTCTTATCCTGTTATTACATTTGCCATTTTCATTTTTATGTGATAGTACTATAAATTTTATAAAAGTACATGTAGTATTTGATTCAGTTAAGAGAACATAGATAAGTTCCTGATAGCATAGTTGTTTGAAAGGATTAACTCTTAAGTTCAAGTTATAACTGTGTCTGTATTATACTAATATTGTTCTTTATGCAAACATTAAAATTGATTGTCCTCATTTTTCCCCCAGAGGAAAATTTGCTGTGGTTAGACAGTGTATATCAAAATCTACTGGCCAAGAATATGCTGCAAAATTTCTAAAAAAGAGAAGAAGAGGGCAGGATTGTCGAGCAGAGATTCTACATGAAATTGCCATACTTGAATTGGCAAAGTCTTGTCCTCATGTAATTAATCTTCATGAAGTCTATGAAAATGCCAGTGAAATCATTTTGATACTGGAATAGTAAGTATATACTTTAATCAATTTAAGTAAATTTATTGTACTTATTTTAATTGGTGGGATAAGGTGACTTGAAATATCAAGAACAGGAGTGATGAAAGTATGACAAGAACTTGTAAAGATTTCTGTTGATAAAATATTAGAAAGACATAGTGTATATTCGAATATTTTCCCACACAAAAACTAATTAAACCACACACACACAAAATGAATAACAACACAACATTTGGGGGATGTGGTAAAATAAGTAAACTTTCATTGCTTTATAGGATAGAAAGTTGATGAGTTTTTGTGCAAAACTATCTGATGGATAAATAGAATTGAAATCATTTACATATTTTATCCATCTATTTGAAAAACACATCCAAGGAAATGACTCATGGAGAGTAGAAGGGTGAATTTGCATGAAGGTGAAGGTATGCCTACCACATTGTTTTTTTTTTTTTTAAAGACTTTATTTATTTATTTGACAGAGAGAGACACAGCGAGAGAGGGAACACAAGCAGGGAGAGTGGGAGAGGGAGAAGCAGGCTTCCTGCGGAGCAGGGAGCCTGATGCAGGGCTTGATCCCAGGACCTGGGATCATGACCTGAGCCGAAGGCAGACGCTTAAAGACTGAGCCACCCAGGCGCCCCTGCCTACCACATTGTTTCTTGAAGAAACACATTTATTTAGTATTGTGTAACATATGAAAAACTGTTTGGAATTATAGCAATAAGAAATAAAATGTATCTCTTCTCACAAGTCATTGAAAAGCTGAAAACACCCAAATATTCAACATTTCATCAGGTTAAGCATGAGGAGGGGGTAGAGCATGGTTAAGCCAACTGGCTTGTTAACCAGTATATTCACATGTGACTCTAAAATAGTACTTTTATTGAGTGACAGTCTGACACATTTATTGTATGTATGTAAAATGTGTTTGAATATCTGCAATGGTTGGAAGAGATTAGCTAAATTTATATTCATATGCTTTAAGCTCTGATAGTTTTTTATAAAAGAAATCTATTTCATAATAAACTAAAGAAATTAAGTATTCATTTTAGGAAAAAAATGCATTATAAATATAATAATCCTTTTTAGTGGTTAAACTGCATCATTGCTTTTTTGAATTTAAAAGTATATTAGCCTAATTTTAGTATTCAGTTATTTTAAGGATGAAGAGGTTTATTTATATATTTATAAAAAATCAATATATTTTTGTACCAGGAAATTTGATTGCCTGGAATCAACTTCTAAATATGAAAATGCTTATTTTGCAAAATGTTAAACTGACCAATAGTTCATTTAAAAATGAATACTATTTACATTTCCCATAATACCAACATACCAATTAAGGTATATTATAGCACCTTCAAAATAAATTAGAATTGTAGAAATACCCACAGTACTACCAACATGACTTCATTTTTCATACATTTTGTGATTGATCAGATTCTTCACCTAACCTTTAAAAAATTAGCGACTTGTATGACACTGCATGTTTGAAGTATGTGAAAATTAGCTAACATTTTTCAAACACAGTAATGGAATACTAGTTTTGGAGGGTAAATAAATAGGAGCATTGACTACTTTTCATAAAATTTTCTTTGGGGGGTTTATCTAAATAGCAGCAACAAGATATATCAAAACATTTTGACACATTTAACGGTTGGACCTTGTCCATACTCTGAACATTGATTCAGGCACCCTACCCAGTAAACTGAATTCTGTAAGGGCAGGACTGTACCTCATGGCTGAAGTGTAGCAAGCACTCAATAAATGTGTAGATGGATTAAAATAATTTCTTACTAGAACAACTAAGACCTACTAAAATTTATTACTAGAACTTTTGTTTAATTACCGTTCCTATCATTTTCGGGGTGGCATTGTCACATCAGATAATCTCAAAGGTAAAAATTTGGTCAGACAGGCTTAGTTGTTTTATATGGTGAAAACAAAACAGTGGGATCTTTTACTCTAATAAACAATTACCAATCTGATCCCCTCCTCAAACCATCCTACATACTTTTCTTCTTTGACTTTTTTATTACAAAATTTCAAATCTACAGAGAAGTTGAAAGAACAATACAATTGACATACTCTTTCGTTTGATTTACCAATTGTTGACATTTTACCGCAGGTACTGAACCATTTGAAAGAGGGTATATACACATAGGTTTGCATGACAGTGTAATTATACTAAAGTACTATTATCACACACACACAACATATATACAAATACATAAGCAAATGAATGCAAACGCTCCCAAGTTTCTAAGTTTGTTGGTTGATGTCCCATCAGGGGGCAAATTCTTCTAACAGAGAAGAGATATACCTGAATATACCTTCCAACGCAATGATAATGATATAGGTGTCTTTTCTGACTATAGAGGCATTTTTTTCTTCTCACTAGTCACTGCTCTTGGGTGGCTTGTTTTAACAAAGCATCTGCCTGTCTACTACTCACTGCTTCCATTTATGCTTCTAGTTTCTGCTAACTTCTGCCGTCTGTTTCTTGTGTTATCTGTTCTTTCCTCCTCTTAGCTCCTCCTAATTTTCCATTTCCCATAGCTCTACCTACATCCCTCTTTATGGGAAAAATGGCAATCCTACAAAAGACATTGGTCAGCTTGCCAAACTGAAAAGAAGAGACAATCTGATTAGCTGGCAATCATAATAATTGTTTAATTTTGTTATTGAAACAGACAAAAGCCCTTAGGATACTTTTCCTGGTTACAAAAGTAATACCTATGTATTGTGTTAAATTTAGAGGATGTAGAAGATAGAAATCATATGTAAATTGTGGTAACTTTTATGGCATATTCCTATATTTTAGAATTATTCTTATTTTTTGGTCTGTGTCTATGTACCTTTAGAAACAAAATTTTGAGTTTGGGAGTACTCTATTGTAACTCTCTTTTTTCACTTAAGAATATGTTGTGTGCATTTTATATGCATAATATAATGTTTCTAAAAATGAATTTTAATTTAGCAAAGACTTTTTAAATTGCCTTTAAAAATCAGAGTTCAGTAAGAAGCTCCCAAATTCAGAAAAGCTAGATGTTCGCTAGGCTTGGAATTAAAATTTGTTGACTCATTATTATAATAGTTAATATTTACTGAATATTTACCATGTGTCAGACACTGTGATAAATATTTATAGATCTGCTTTGATCTCTAAAACATCTATTATGTCCAATAATTTATATGGTTTATCTAATTTAATTCTTAAAACAATCCAGTGAAGCAGGAGCTGTTGTTATTCATCATGTATCATTGTGTTACAGTAAAGGAAACAGAGGCAACATTTTGTCCCAATTTATGCAGCTAGTTAGCAGCAGAGCCAGAATGGAACCCAGGCAGTCTTGAATTTCAGTAGGTACCCCTATAAGCAAACTGCTGTCTTATCTCTTATGTCCTAGGCACCAGGGAGTGCTTCACATTCTTTTTCTTAGTTTGTTTTCTTATATTTTTTGAATTTTTGAATTAATGGAGGGTTCTGGTTGTTGAATTAAATTTGGTGAATGTGAGCTACATGGACTGAATTTTGTATTGGCAGAGAGGAGAAGACCGCATTTGTGAGCAGCTCAAATTAGTCACTGGCTTCTTAAAAACCATCATTCCTGCCTGTTCTAGTCCTTCAGTCATTCTACTCCATCTCACTTTTACACCCTGGATTTTCATATCTTAATAGTGGTTGTAAATCCATATTTTATACAGTTTTCTTATATTTCAAATTATTTTGTCTAGTTTCTTATCAAATAATTCTTGTTGAGCACAGGACTCATTCTAAGAATCTAAAGCATCATCTCTTCATTTTCTTACTGCTTATGATTGCATTAGTAATATTATCTGCAATATCTTTGCAGGAATATTTAGACCACTTTCTGTTTTAAGAGGATTTGTTTCATTAAAAAATGTAACCAGAAAGGGAAGGAGTGAGGGTGTCATTGGCAATCTGGCCTGGGGAGTCCCTCTTCCCTCAGGAGACCTTGAGCAGGGCTGTGACAAGTAAACATCTGACCTGCAGACCAAGGGACTACCAAGGGCAGTCTATATATAACTATTCATAAAGATTAATTTATTTTGTAGGTGAGCATGAATTTTTAATATTGTCTTCCTATATGTTATTTTCAAGTTTGGTTCTATAAGTTTTATAGCAAACTAACTTTTTAATACTCAGATTGTCTTTACTGTGATACCTTGAGACAGGTATTAGTTTTTTATGAATTTTCTTGGAGTTTCAGGAGTTAGGGGAAGTTGAAGTGTCAGTATAATTGGAGTTTTCACAAGTATTCCTTACCAGCTGTCCCACACAGTTTTCTCTGGAATATGGTAAAGTGCAAAGCAGCAAATCTCTGCATCCTCTAACTGGCACAGATTGGTAGAGATGGCTTAGTTATACGTTATATCTGCAATGTAAAGGGTCAGTCCTGTGACTTTCAGTGTAGGACTGAAATTTACCACCATTATTTTTTTTTCTTCTAGCTCCTCATACATATGACACGCTTCTTCCTCTTGACAACCAATGAGACTTCTGCATTTCAGTTTCGGCCACTCTGAAGAATGACTGCCTATTCATTCATTCATTCATTCAACACTTTTACTGAACACTTTCTACATGCCAGACACTGTCCTATTTTACCATATAAAATATGCTTTACTTGGGATATTCTTAAACATACCTTATAAATTTATTGAATAACCACCTAGATTTTTTTTGCATTTTTTAGATTTAGCCCTCAAAAAAAAAAAAAATCTATTGAATTCAGTGATTTTGATTCAGTTTTACAGATGGGGAAAGCCAAATAAGTGACTGATCCTAAGCTATATTGCTGGTAAATAACAGATTCGGGATTTATCTTTATATTGTTTGATTCCAAACCTAGGGACTTCTTTCTATGCCTTTGTCAACATTCTTTAGATTTTCAGTTCTTTTAAAAAAAATAATAAAAGATTTGTGAAGCTGCAATACAGGGTATTGGTTAAGAATGCACATTTTCACCCATATCATACTGCTTCAGATTCTGGTTCCCCGTTTACCATGTGACCTTGTACAAGTAGCTTAACCTCTTTGTATTTGTTTCTTTATCAGTAAAATGGAAATAATAACTACCTACCCACATGGTTGTCATGAGAATCAAAAGAGATGATATTTATATCTATATATAAATGAATAAAATGAGCAGAGTTCAGAGTATTAGCTATTATTTTTATTGCATTGTTAAAGCAGACTATAATATTCTTGAATTATAAAGCAATTTAGTTTTATTTATTATACAAGTATTGGTACTCAAAATTTGAAATATTCTTGTCATTTACTTTCTTCCTTAAAGATCTCTCTCACCCTCCCCTCCCCCAATTTCTTAAGTATATGTATGTATCAATATAGAGAGACTAAAGTTTAGATAGCTTTGTCTTTTACTTAACAGTTACACAGTATTTAAAAGTTGTCATTTTTAGGTCAATGATTTTTCAAGTTTCTATTATTTGAATTTCATTTCAGTGCTGCAGGTGGAGAAATTTTCAACTTGTGTTTACCTGAGCTGGCTGAAATGGTTTCTGAAAATGACATTATCAGACTCATTAAACAAATACTTGAAGGAGTTTGTTATCTACATCAGAATAACATTGTTCACCTTGATTTAAAGGTAATGTAACATGATTTTATGTAACACAACATCTTTGTTCCTTCTGCTCTTGGGATGCATAATTGCAAGCTGGTATCGGTAGGAAGCAACAGTCAGATCATGCCCCTCTGTACTGCAGTGGTGCAGTCTTTGTTTACCCGTGTGCTACAGGGACTGAATTTTGTATTGGCAGAGAGGAGAAGACCGCATGTATGAGCAGCTCAAATTAATCACTGGGTTCTTAAAAACCATCATTCCTCCATGTTCTAATCCTTCAGTCATTCTACTCCATCTCACTCTTACACACTGGATTTTCTCATCTTGTAAAATGGTCCTACCTCTAAATACTTTAGTCTGATCTCCATCTCTGAAGATAACCTCTCCTAGGCCTCATTTCTTTGCTCCCATTATATTCATTCATCTTTACCTTGAGACTTTTAGTCTTTTGGTTCTTCTTTTTTTTTTGCCCCCCCCCTCCCCGAGCATTCAGGCCACTTACTCCTCAAGCCCTGAAATACCACTTTAGCTTCTTATATTATTATCCTTTCTCCGTATCCTTCCTCCACAGCCATCCAAAATTTCAATCACTCTGTCTCTCATTTTTGAACATTGGACTCTTCTCTTTCTCTACACTTTCTCTGTTGCATGATCCTTTGTCCTTTCCTATCATTTTCACAATAATGATGATTTCCAGTTCTCTTACCTATAGCCCAGGCTTCTCTCCTAAACTCCAAATTATTTTCTCCAACTGTAGATTAGATACCATTGGGATATCTTGTAGAAACTTTAAAATGTACATGTCTCAAACTAGACTTACTTTTTCTCTTTATCTTATCCCATTTTTCAAAAGAAAAAGAAAATCTGTTCATCTCTGTGAGTCCCCCCCATGGAGGAGGGGTAGTACTTACTATCTAATAGCCCTGCCATGTCCCTTACAAATAAGATATTTGAAAAATAACAATATCATTAATATCAGGATAATCATGCCCCCACAAACTTCCTGTTGGGTTTTTTTCCTGCTAAGGACAAACTAGTCATGTGTATTATGTAATACCACGCAGCATTTGCAGTCAGGGATGGCAAATAAACTTGGCTTTATATATCCTAAAGCCTGTGATTGACAATAGATCTAATTACCCTTGCCTCCTCTTCTTTAATCTCTCTGTGATTTAATAATAAACAAGCATGGGGTTTTCCCAAAGTTAGACTTATGATTCTTCTCGCAGACTTTGGGAGCAGCACCTTGGCAGCTATATGGGTTATGACAGTGGCAGGGAGTTTTGTAATTGACCTCAGGCCTTTGCTTTGTAAAGCAAAGTCACATAGTTCTGGGAAGCAATGGCTGAAACCTTCCATATATCCGTATCTCTTATTGTCTAAGCTAAAAACCTGGCAACAGTCAGACCCAGAACCATCATACTCTACTGGACCATTTTCTGTTTCTGGAAATGTATACTTTTTTATTCCTTCATTCCTTCTTTCATGCTGTTCCCTAGAGTGCCTTTCTAACTGACATACTCCTATTTATCCTATAAGGTTCAGCTTAAATATCATCTCTACAGTAAAAGCTTCTTAAATTTTATAATAGGCAGAATTAAATAGTCTTTATTACTGAGTATATCTCATAGTCAATTAATCAATCCAAATATTCATCTAACTTTTTTGTCCAAACTAAGAATCGTCTGAGTATATTTTTAACTTTATTTATCATTGAGTGTAAAGCATTTCCTAAATAAGTAGTTCAGCAGATGTTTGGTGAATGACTCAATGAAATGGGTAATAGCTAAACACTTAATTTACCTCCAATCTGAGACTAGTATTCTTTTATTGTTGTATATTACTTACCATTTTTTATTATGCTTTATTTAGCCACAGAATATATTATTGAGCAGCATATACCCTCTTGGAGATATAAAAATTGTAGATTTTGGAATGTCTCGAAAAATAGGGAATGCTTGTGAACTTCGGGAAATCATGGGAACACCAGAATACTTAGGTAAGAATTTCTTTTTACTTTCTACACCATTTTGAAATTTTTTTTTTTTTAAGATTTTATTTATTTGCGAGAGAGAGAATGAGAGACAGAGAGCATGAGAGGGAGGAGGGTCAGAGGGAGAAGCAGACTCCCTGCCGAGCAGGGAGCCTGATGTGGGACTTGATCCCAGGACTCCAGGATCATGACCTGAGCCGAAGGCAGTCACTTAACCAACTGAGCCACCCAGGCGCCCCAACCATTTTGAAATTTATCATCTAAATGATACCTCTATAAAACTGTATTTTAGAGCATGTAATTCCAGGATATATTTAGTTCAGGTATTTTAATGCATTGAAATTTGGTTATGACACATCTAAATGTGAACTTTAGCATACATAGGATTATTGAGACATTCACAACAATTCATAGGACATTGGTCATATAAGTCCAAAAGTTAATGTTTGTGTGTAAAAGCTTTGTACATAAAGAAGAATGGGTAAAGGGGAAATTAGGGAACAGGAGAAAAAAGAGGAAAACAGAGTCACGTGGTCCATTATTGCCTTTGAAGCCTGGCTGTTGGCTAGAGTGCCAACATTTCTACTTCTGTCCTGGTCCCAACTCTGAAACTGTTTACAATATACATTATCTTCAGTTTTGCAAGAATTGTTAGCAGGACTGCTTGCTCTTCGTTGCTGCTGTGTTAAAAATGTGAGGATTGTAAAAGGAGGATTTTGAAGAAAAAAGATGCCAAAAAGATCCTATGATTAGATAATATAGGGATATTGTACTATATCAACGAATTAGATGATGCAGATGAAAAAAATTTTAAGTTCTATAAAGCAGCACATAAGTTTAAAGTATTTTAGGGGTGCCTAGGTGGCTCATTTGGTTAAATGTCTGCCTTCGGCTCAGGTCATGATCCCAGGACCCTGGGATCGAGCCCCGTGTCGGGTTCCCTGCTCAGCAGAGAGCCTGCTTCTCCCTCTCCCTCTGCCTGCCACTCTGCCTCCTTGTGCTCTCTCTCTCTCTGTCAAATAAAGAAATAAAATCATAAAAAAAAAAGAAGTATCTTAAGTTATAGTAAGAATCTTTTTACGCTTTTTTGTTGTTGCTCATATTGATATCCCCATGTGAGCATTGAAAAGATACAACTAACAGAACAGGTGCTTCTCAGCAAGACGGCTGAATTTCCTGAAATGAAAACAAAGCAAATTACTAACTTTTGAATGCTAATGGGGGCTATAATGTTCTAGAATAAATGATTGTAATTATAGATAACACAGCTCACAGAAGTGTGTGTCAGGTTGTAGATTGTGTGACAGACAGAAACTGACAAATATATATGACTCAAAGTCTTCATTAATAAAAACATTAGGCTTTAGGAAACAGTTTCTCTTTGGAGAAATTATGAAACTGCTGTGAAATAACAAAGTTATTATTCAAGCATAAATTCTAATTTGGACTCTACTAATTTGAAATTTGTGATAATGTTTACAAAATATAGAAAATTTATTTTGCACTTAAAAAACTGGTGGGGAAGGAAAAGGGGGGAAACTAATTGCATAGGAATTTAGGTTTTTGATAGTTTAAGAGGGATATTTAATCTACTTGAAAATTTAAAGCACTTCTAGAAAGCATAATTTGTTCATTATGTTATTATAAATACATATGATTCTCTTTACCCTGAAAAGAAAAACTTAAATTAGTATAATAAAATAACACAAGCTAACTCTTAACATAGAGTAATAAAACTAAAATTTTTAAAAGGATTCTAGTGTCTAAAATTTTACTTCATAATTATTTTTCCTAAGATTGATCTTAATAAAAAAAACCCCAAAAACCCTACATAGCTACTGGTTACTCCAAGAATATTATTTGTGCTTTCGAACCATCTGGTTATACAATTTGCTCAACATTAGATATGTTTAAATGTCTAATCACAGGGTAATTAATACTATGCTAAATTTCTATTAATTTGATGTTACTAGGTCTTTAAAATTAAAACCAGTTTTAATTTATTATAAAATAATTTTCATGTTTTTAAATTTGTCAGTATTGAATTTGAATTTTATTTTTGCTTTCAGCTCCAGAAATCCTGAACTATGATCCTATTACCACAGCAACAGATATGTGGTAAGATTTTGCTAGTTACCTAAATGCTTTTATTACGTGCTGGGTAGTATATATCCTAGGGTTCTTTGATTCCAAATGTAAATAATAAGGCTTTCTATAAAAGGTTTTTTTTCAAGTATCATTATTATGCCACAAGAAGACATTTACTTGTCCATTCTTTTTAAGTAATACTTTGGCTGTGAGCCAAAGGTACAGAAATAAATAGGAAAATCCCTTTCCTGAAGGAATAAAAAACCAAAATAGTTGCAGTACTGTGCGTCGTGTTCTGTAATAAGGTAAAATACTTAATGAGCATGGAGGAAGCAGCAGACAAGCACCAGATGTAAGAATCTGATCTAGGTCTGGAAGAACTAGGAAGGTATTTGCTACGCAGAAAAATGAGGTCAGGTTCATGCAAAAGTTTAGTTTTATTTATGGTATCTCTAGGGTATTGTGAGTTTTTGTCACAAGCAAAATGATATTTTGAATATCAGATATCATAGGGAATAAAACTGGAATTCCTACTGGAACTTTAGTTGGGACCACAATGGGGGCTGACTCCACAGACCACGTGGAAGAGTTTAGACTTATTCTCTGTGTTCCATGTAACTGTAGTTGGCTTGCCAAGGAAAAATGTCCTTGGCTAAATAAGTGGGAAACATGTACTGTATGTGTTGTATTTTTCTGGCTCCTGAGCACCAGACTTGTCATTAATATATTTAAGTCTGAAAAGTTTTGCAATGAAAAAAATCTGCCTGCCCAACTTTGTGCTTTGCCAAACTTGCTGACTCTATTTGCACAGAACTCCTGTTTATGTCTCACAGATCATTACTGTGTCATTGACACCATTTAGGAAATGCTGCCCTTCGAGCAGCTTTGTGTACTGAATAACAGGTGTCTGAGTGAAGGGCAGACTATAGATATCAGGATATGTATTTTATACATTATATTTATAATTATGTAACACACATGCATTCCCCTCATGTTCTTTTTCTGTGAGACAGACTTTGAGATAACACAGTTATTTTAGTTTTAATAATATAGGAAGTTTGAAAAGCAATTTAAGTCTGTAGATTAACTGTACAAGTTTTGAGGACAAGAATATGTTGAGTATCAGTTTTACTTTATATAAATGTTTTCAGATTAACATGCGTTTTAAGTTCCCCTCTTGTCCCTTATTTGTTTTTCAGGAATATTGGCATAATAGCATATATGTTGTTAACTCATACATCTCCATTTGTGGGAGAAGATAATCAAGAAACATACCTCAATATTTCTCAAGTTAATGTAGATTATTCAGAAGAAATTTTTTCATCAGTTTCACAGCTGGCCACAGACTTTATCCAGAGGCTTTTAGTAAAAAATCCAGAGTAAGTTATAACATTAATTTGTTTAAGTGCTGTTACAAAATGGATAATATATGTCTATTGAGAAAAGATACATTCTAAAACAGTATACAGTTATTAGAAGTATGCTCTCAAGTTTCAGATAAAATGGGAAGAGAGGTGGTGTAAGAGATCATTACATAACAAATTGGTAACTTCAAACATAGAAAATAGATAAAACATACAACAGGAAATTTTGGATTAAAGACAAGATTTGGGTTATTTCTCTCTCAACCTGCTACTAAACCCTGAAATTCCCTACAATAATTACAAATAGGTTTACAATACACATGGCTGGCTATGATAGGCTTTGTTATGAATAATTTATAGACAAGTAATTATAGTTATGTGGTAAGTATAAATTACTGATTGTCAGATCTTTAAGGGTCAGATGCTCTTTGACCACCTGCAAAAAAAGGAACTTGAAACTATCGCTTAGGACTCAGGTTTCTCATTGGCAACTTCAGAGCAGGAAAAGAAAAGCTGACCTCCCTTTTCTTTACTCAGATCAGCCCCATTTACTTTAAAATGGCCTGGCTATACTTAATGCAGAAGCTGTGATATAGTGCCTTGGTCTTGGATCCTGGTTTTGTTACTTGTCAGGTCTTTTATCTCTGACAATTACTTAATCTCCTGGAGGACTCAGTTTCTTATCTGTTTAAGGAAAAAGAACTCACAGGTTTGTTAATTATTCTATTGGCTTAATGCAAGTCCAAACAAATTCTCACTGGCCATATTTTGGACATGAATGGTTATTTAGTAGTAGTAGTAAAAATACTTCTGATTATAAGCAGTTTTCATTTTCATTTTTACTTAGATTCTAAAATTTCTAAAATGAGCACATTCATTTTCTTATAAAAAAAATGAACATAATTTCTAAAATGAACACATTAATTTTTTGGTAATCAGAAAACAATGAAATTAAAATGATCATAAAAAATGAATTTAAGGGACACCTGGGTGGCTCAGTCAGTTAAGTGTCTGCCTTTGGCTCAGGTCATGATCCAGGATTGGGTCCCGCATCTCGCTCCTTGCTCGGCGGGGAGCCTGCTTCTCCCTCTGCCTCCTACTTCCCCTGCTTGTGTTCTATCTCTGACAAATAAAATCTTTAAAAAAATGAAGTCAAAGCCTAAGAAAGCATATGTTCTAATAGAAATGGTGGTTGTGTTAAGGTTGGAGTTCTGACTATAAATAGATATTTTCTTAACTTTTGACATACTGTGATATTTGACCATATTATTTTCAAAAGAGAAAACAAAATGTAAAAATTCAAAATATTGGATAAACATCATTCAGGAGCAGACTTTATTTTCAAGATTTAACAGTATTGCTTTTAAGAACACAAAATAATAATAAAGATTATAAAATATATGTATTTTTTTCAGAGTTTTTATACCCAAGAGATTTTATAATTTTACTAATTTTTATTTGTGAGGCTAACATATGTTCTCAAGCTTTTTGACTAGATAGTATCATCCGTAAGCTCCATGATAAAATGAATTTCCAGCACATGTCAGTATTAAAGAAACTCTAGGTACTCCAGTCTTTGTATTGTTATTCTCTTCTGTACTATGAGTATGTGTTATTTTCATAATAAATTAAAAAAATAAGTCTATTGTATATCAAACAGCAGGCATTTCCAACTTGATTTTTAGTTCTAAATTTTCACTTGATGCTTTCTTTCAAAGGAAAAGACCAACAGCAGAAATCTGCCTGTCTCATTCTTGGCTACAGCAGTGGGACTTTGGAAGCTTATTTCACCCTGAAGAAACTTGCAGTTCCTCTCAAAGTCAAGATCATTCATTAAGGTCCTCTGAAGACAAAACTTCTAAATCCTCTTGTAATGGAACTTGTAGTGATCGAGAAGACAAAGAGAATATTCCAGAGGATAGCAGCATGGTTTCTAAAAGATTTCGCTTTGATAACTCATTGCCCAATCCCCATGAACTTGTTTCAGATTTGCTGTGTTAGCACTTTTCTCTTTGAGTTATTTGGACTGAATTTGGAATTTGAAATCTACTCCAATGTGAGGTTGTAGTTTGTAGCTTCATTTATGGCTTGTTTATATTGTAAATGCACTTTTGCATAGGAGAGTTTAGGGAAGTGTTTTGATGCTACATTACTAGCTACCAGTATAATTTCATTTCCTGTTCTGAGATACTAACTGCAGAGAAGAAATATTTAAATATATGACAAAAGATAAAGTTGTGCATGTGAGTTTACATGTTAGGGAAATAATTAAGTTCAAATGGGTTTTTCAAAATGTTTTACAGATAAGGAAAACAGTGATTTGGGTTATGTTATGGTTGAAATAAACTGAACAAAATGAAGACATTTGAATTTAATAGGTTCTCTAAGCTAAGTCCTATACCATGCCTCTATTGACAAAATTTTGTTAGGATAATAGTGTCAAGTTTAAGAAGACTATGTCCTATTTTATAGATGCTCAAGGGATTTTTTACATTTGAAAATATTTCAATCACAAATATTTTGAAACTGCCTAAAATTTCCAGGATATATGGTCTGCTATATGAGACAGGTCCTTTAACCAGAGCAAAGAGGGAGTTAGAAACCTGATTAGGAATACTCTATACGAGTTGGAGCAGAAAAAAGAGCAGCGTGGCATCATTTTTTAACTCAAATGTCTTTTGCCCTCTCTCAACGTTCTTCAGATTTAATAAGGTCTGAAAGATGGAGAATTAGATGGTACACAAGTGTAGAGGATTTTCATCTTCCAGAATTTCTGGAGTAGAAGAGACTTAAATAAAACTGAATGTGCTCTATTTTGGGTGGCCAAACATATTTATTATTTGAGTATAGGACAAAATGCTGCCTGATTTTGGCAACTTAGAGAATTTTAGATGTTTTCTGAGTCTTAGGATATAAGCCAGTCATTCAGAGTTCTAAAAGTGTGCATAAAAAAATATCACAGCCCAGTAAGACTATTAACTCAGGGCCAGACTCTGTGACAGCAAGGTGAACGTGATCATAAAATCTGATGACATCACGCTCTTCTCAAGTGCTTTTGTAGAATTCCAGTGAGTGACGAGGCTCAGCAGAAGGCAATCTGCCAGGTGGCCTTTAATGGTCTTTTGCTGGGACCAATCTAAGATTCGAAGGTCAGCAGAGTGGCTGATGACTGTTTTGCTAATAGAGGGAAATTTACTCCTTTTTTGGTTATCTTTGATGACTTTGCACCTGGTTACTATTAAAGATTCATGTTAGGGTAATTGTAACCTCATTACCATGTTACTACATTAAAAGAAATTATATTTTGACCAAAAAAAATTCTTGAGTTCCCCCCTTGAATTATATATTACTCTAAACCTTTAACTTTCTGAAATCTGGTAAAATTCCAAATAACTTAAAACTGTTTTTAATAGCCATCTGTTCACTTTATTTGGCTAAGTGGCGACTTCCTTTTAAATCTTCAGCATTTCTTAAAGGAAAAGTTATTTCTACTTGCGTGTGCATATGTGTATATGTATAGGCTATGTATTTATGTATAGATAAAATATAGTCTTTAGACAACCTTCTCTTAGAGATTCTTTGCTCTACTGTATTGTGTTCAACTCAGGTGCCAAAGGAGCTCTCTTCTTAGGACATGTAAATATACATTTAAATTCTTTAAGAAGTAGTTTGTTGTTCAATAAACTAGCCATTGCAGAAGCTACATTGGGCTCTTGTATATCTAAAACTGAGTTTTTTCTAAATTGTTGATTGTCCATTTATTTGCCTTCCATATTAAGCTAATGCAGGTAAAGCTTGGTAAGCCATTGGTGGAAGAGGATTTTTACAAAAGATCATATTTTATTTTTAAATTTCTAGAGGAGTTATGCCATAGTAAAAATTAAAAATAAAGAAATGTTTGAATTTGAAATTATAAGCTAATTCTTAAAAAATATTTTATACCAGTTTTCTTTTAGTCTGAGGAATCTTAAAATAGTTCATATGCTGCCCCTTAGTTAACAGAATACACAAAGTCGTAAATTTCCATACCTTTTTCCCTAACAATTTTTATTGTAAAAAAGTAACAAGTAGTTGCACAAACAGTATAAAAATTCAATTTTTTCATAAAAGTGAATTTAAATATTTTCACTGTTTGAAATGTGAAAATTAAACCAGTATTTAGAGAGAACTCAACAAATGACTCAATTCTTTTTCTCTCAAGATTGAAAACAAGCATCTATCAAAAGTAGGTGATATACCTCATTAAAGTAGGAATTTTAGCCCCTCTGAGGTGAACCAGATGTCTTAACACTTAAACACATCTGAAAATTAATGTTAAATTGTGATGAGTTTATACAGTTTAATAACTTTGCTTTTTGGATAGATAGGATTAAAAATAAAGTATAGACGACAGTTACAATCGTCATTTTAATTTTTTTCTCCACAGTCAAGTTAACTCTGAGCAGTAAAATTATAGTGGCACTTAAAGGATGTAAGCAGTGTGTGTTCTGCAGTCTGTAATGAGATAAGGCACCTGTGCCAGACTGTATATCAATACATTGCTTCCTTTAAAGCAAGTTGTTTAAAAAAAAGTCAGCTGATTAATGATATAATTGATTTTCATCCTGGCACAAGTTATTTCTTTCGTTTGGGATGGGTTGCTAATAGCTGACGGACCATACTTGGAATAGCCTTGCTCTAAGCAGCATTTATAAATTGATATTTTATAACTGTTTACATTTCTTCTGTTTATTTTTGAATTTCCATTTTTATATCTGTCTTAAAAACTTGTCTTTATTCATTGTGTAAACAATTGTACTTCAATTTCAAATTGTATTAAAATTAAGTTATCTGACCTCCAATTTGGAGAAATAGTATAAATTTATAATTTTATGAGTTTAAAGAATTTTAAATTCTAATTGTAAATTTCACACAAATTACAACTGCCCCCATCTTTCATTAAATAATCATGTTGCTTAAACATGTTGACTGACATTATTATGAATACCCCAGTAAAAAAAAAAAAATATCAATTTAATGATCCTTTTGGTTAAAAATTAAAAAGCACTTTTTTACATCTGTGATTGTCTTTTGCTTTAAAGTATTTCTAAGTTTGTTTTTCTTAAAAGCAAACCTCCTTGCCTGAAGGTTCTAGCCTTGACACGTCATCTTTGAACTCCCTTTTCAGTACATATCTGTTTATTAGATCCTGTCTATTAAAAAGCCACATAAATTTGAAAACAAGTCTGTTCTCTGATAATGCTAGATATTTTCAGAAAATGTCAGTGAATGGCAGTGTACTATTCTGTTGCATAAGGATGAATAAGGGATTTTTATTTACCCAGAAATGGGTGAACTGTTTCTGTTGGTTTTTTTTGTTTTTGTTTTTGTTTATAGTTTAAATAAATTGAATTTTTAAAAAAGATGAATAAGGGATTCTTTAAGAAATTTATAATCTGTTTATGGACTAATCAGTTCATATAACATACTCTGGTTATGTTCTATAAAGTTCCCACAAACAGTGAATATTCAAACATTGCTAGAGGAAATACAGGGTTAGGTTCCTACAAGGTTCTGTTTATAACATTTTTGCCAACTAATCAATGCATAACCTTGTTTTATGCAGTTTCTGTTTAAAGGGATCTTATTTAATATATATTGTTGATTCATTAACATTGACCTCTCACCAACAGCACCATAACTCATGCCTGAATGAAGCTTATCTAAAAATACATTTTTTCTCATAAGGCACATTACAGCCCTGTGCATAGGAACATAACTACACAGCAATTCAAAATTACGATTTGGGGCCATTTTAAACACAGAAGTCACTAACAAAAAGCACAAAAATGCAGAAAACATGACACTAAATAGACCACAAAATGGACATTTGTCTTACAGTATGAGAGCTAAAACAAGACAGAGCATCACTTCACTCAATCTAAGACAGGAACGTGTGTCCGGCATCTCAAATTTTTTACTGCTGTGATCCTGTCTGCAAATGATTGTGAAAGCATTATGCATGTTAATTTTGGGGTGACAAATTTTAGTAAGTATGTAAGTTCACAAATATGGAATTAATGAATGAAAAGGGTCAACTCTACATGCCAAAATCATCATGTAAAAAGTATGAAGTGTGATAAAGAAATGGTGTGCACAACTTAACAATTTAGTCTTTAGGGAGAAGAAATTGTTATGTGTTGGAACTTCTTAATTGTGAGCACTTTCTTCTCAGGTTCCATATTTTTCTGACACAATAGCATTCCCAAATTTTTCTCTTTAGTCCCAATTTTCCTCCTGGATACTGAAATCATATGTATTATCCTTATTGGATAGAAGAATACTCAAATGTAAAATAGCTCTAAGTAAAATCATGATCATATTCTCTTTATATCACCTCCTCACCCAAACTTTCTGGCTTCATGTTATCTCCCTCAGTTAATATAGCACTGTTTACCCACACATCCCAACTGGATATCTCTAGGTGTCATTCTAAAAATTTTGTTTTCTTACTGCACGTCTTCCAATAGTCATTATTTTTTTTAAACTTTTTAAAATTTATTTAAACAATCTCTACACCCAGTGTGGGGCTCAAACTCATGACCCTGAAATCAAGAGTCACATGCTCTTTTGACTGAACCAGCCAGGTGCTCCCTAATAGTCATTAATTTCTATCAATAATATCTTTTTAGATAATCATAGTTATTTTCTCTTAAAAATAACTCCTATACATTCATCTAGATTTAGATTGTTTATATCACCTAGAAAGAGGTCTGCACACCTTTTCTATAAAGGGCCAATTATTAAATATTGTAGGCTTTGCAGGCCAGTGTTTCGTCACAACTACTCAATTTTGCTTTTAGAGCATGAAAACAGTCATAAGCAATACACAAACAAATGGGTGAGCCAATCAAACTTCATTTATAAAAACAGATGATGAGCTACATTTAGTTTGTTTTGACCCCAATCTAGATTATCACATTAATTCTCTTAGCTCTAACATGATTAAAAGGGGAGGAGAGCCAGAAAGACACAGGGAAGTGAGCCTCATCTGCATTCACTTTGTCTAGCAAGCAGATGTCCAAGAGGAAGAAGACTGAGTAGTCATTGGATAGGTGATTTTACTAGAATGGTGAGTTTGCAACTAGTTGAGAAAATAGAAAGTAGAGGCCACAGGTATATACTGGTCTTCCAAGAAATCTAGGGGAAAAGGAGAACTATAGTTTGAAGAGTGTTTTTTAAAAACATTTTTTAAAATGGGGAAGACTTGAAAAAATTAATAGGCAAAGGAGAGAAGTCCACATGGAGGCAACAGTTGAAATGCGT